TAATTATAATTATATTGTTATAATAATGATAATATTAATAATAAAAGAATGAAGAGACATAAAAGATGACAGTTGGTGACATTAGTATATATCACTAAGTCCTGTAGGTCATCATCTCAAACAAAGAGCTGCTGCTGCTAAGACGATTAACCTCAGTAAATACGACCTTTCGTTTACAGACTTTACATTAAAAAGATTTTCCAGTGTCAGCGAGTTGCAAACACATTGACCCTTGCAAAAGATGTCAACATTGGCAACTTCACCTTAACACCACCGACACTGGCTGCAGGCTGCCGACACAGAGGACACATATACTTTATGGCCAAAAGTATGTGGACGGCTGAACAGTGACAGTTAAACTGATTCTAAAACCATGGGCATTAATATGCTGCTGTGACAGCCTCCACTCTTCTGGTTTCAGGATTTGGTCCCATTCAGGCTTAGGAGCATTAGAGAGGTCCAGCACATGTTGGGTGATCAGGTCTCATAGTCTGTGTTTCAGTTCATCATAAAGGTGTTGGATGGGTTTGAGATCAGGCCAGTCAAGTTCTTTCACGCCAAACTGGGAAAACCATTATTTTATGAAGCTGGCTTTGTGCACGGGGATAGTGTTATGGTGAGCCAGGAAACTGCTTTCCCTTCAGTGGAACTAAGGGGACCAAACCACCGGGACCAAACTGTTTCCTCTGATAAGGACTGATCAGAGGGGGGTCGTCGTCGTCTAATCTCAGTCTGAGAAACTCTTAATAATCCTGCTCTTCACTCTGATTGGGCAGCAGGCTGTCTCGTGTCGTCTTGTTTTCTGCAGCTGATGTGACACTGATCAGATTAAAGAGCCTTCACATTAGGCGACATTAAACGCGATTTAAACCCCGACCGCAGTCTGGAGCTACCGTCCACCTAATTCTCTTCTGATGCGGCCTGTTCACATGAACGTGAAAATGTGTCATGACATAAACAATACCTGCACTGTAAAATCTGATCTTGTTTCATTATCTCAGTACAATTAGATCAGTTTGTCAGTTCCAAAGAAACTTCAATCTAGTTCTGACAAAATTTGTCAAATTAAGTTGCATTTTAGCTTATATATTTAGCATAGATTAAAACAAAAAAAGGGCTTGAAATATTTTACTTTGTGTGTATTGAATCTAGAATATATGAATGTTTCACTTTTTGAAATAAATTATGGAAGAAAATTAACTTTTCCACTTTTCCCTGTATTTTTACATATGCCTACATTGTGATACTGTAAGGTCAGAGAAAGAGCGTGATTTATTAAGTCTATTTTAAAACGATACTCACTTGCTCATATACACACTGAAACAATTTTTAGTGGCTGTAATTGTATCTCCCCGTTTATACTGGCCAAGAAGAAATGTTATCATAATGTGATTCTAATGTAAGAGATCAACAAAATCCAGTCTTCTTCTGTGCAAGATAAGCTAAAGATAATGAGGCTTTAGCGGTCTGAGACAAATCAAATGTTTATCTTCTAAAGTCTTGTTTGTACAAAATTCCTCAGTTGTGTTTCTCTGGATGGTGTTTCTTTGCTGAAGCATCATATGAACTTCAGCTGAACTTGAACTGTTTACACAGAACAACAGCTGTACATTCCTTCTCTTCAGGGCCAGTGCAGATGGGATGAACATATGTAGTGATGAATGGCTGTGCATATAAGCACCTTTAATATTGTAGCAGTAAAAAAAAATTATGTTAATGCAGGTCTGTGAGATGATCTGACCCCCTGCATGAAAGTCAGAAGTGCTACATCCTTATTTTGCTCCTCTCTACATAGAGAACAAACTGCTTCCTTAAAGTCACCCAAAGTCAGTCCTAATGGCCAAGATGAGGCTGGAGCTGTCTGAGTTAGACAAAATAATCTGTGTGTAGCAAGAAGGGACTACAAACGTTCTTTTCGTTACACCATCTTGTGCTGTATAATGACAAATAAACCACATTGATCCATGATAAGTGGGGTATCTTCCAAAGTTAGACTCTTTAGTAGACTACACATTTTCCTCTCGGTGTTGCTTTCTCTCAACCACAAATCAGAGAGGAGACACTGCACAAAGAGGGAATTTTATACCAAAAAGACTCACTTGAGCTGACTAACACAGACGGATTATGACATATAAACTTTTGAATGAGGACTGTGGATTTTAACCTCAGTCACTTACAATGGAGACATGTTAAAGAAAAGATTGTTAATGGATCAGGAGGACTGATTACATATAGATGGTCCTTTAATGCTGTATTTCAGTTCAGAAGCTGTAGCCTACAATGTTAGATCTAGGCCTACTATTGGTGTATTGGTGTTATTTTCTGTATCAACCCCCCCTGTCACCTGTCAGACCTGCTCTCACCTGTAAACTGACATCTAACTCAGTCATTTCTAGTCTCAATGGCATCAACCCTGGAACCAGACCCCCCCCCCCCCTCTCACCTCCAAGTAGGGGATGATCCTGCACGAGAACTCCCCCAGCAGCCAGTTCTTGGTGAGCTCGTGGAACACCACGAGCGGCAGGCAGAAGAAGATGATAACGAAATCCCAGAGCGCGAGGTTGGCCAGCAGTGAGTTGGAGATGCTCCTCATGTAGTAGTTGTGGCACACGATGCACATGACCGACACGTTCCCGATGATCCCCACACTGAAGATGACAGCTGCGGTGATCATGACCGCGTACGCTCCGTACGACTCTCCGGTGACCGGGTAGAACGGGTTCTTCATTTGCTTCCGTCTGGTCCGCGTGTTCACCGGCACAAACGGCGTGGGGTCGGGATAGTCCGGCAGAGAGTACTCCTCCTCATAGTCAGTGGTGTTGAGTCCGAACGGGGGTCGGGCCTCTTGTTCCTGCGCCATGGCCACGGGTAGAGCTTCCAAAGCCTCCTGCAGCGGCTCGCTCCGATTCGTTCTGCTCAGTTTTGCGCTCCTTCTCTGCCGCCGGTTATGTCCGGTCCTCTCGAGGCTACAGGTGCGTCCATGCGGAGTTTGTTTAAGCACTTCTCCCGGCCTGCATCCACCACTCCGCGACTCATCAGCCTCGTTTACATCCGTGCGTAAAGCGTCGTCTCCGGGTACGAGGCGCGCTCCATTTTGCTTCTCGTGTTTACGCGCAGGTCGGGTTGTCTGCGTCCTCAGCAGCTCAGTAGATGACGGGTTTACAGTATCCAGCCACGAGGCCTGCGCACTCCCACCGCGCGCCCCCCAATTGTCCGCCCCGATGACTGTGCGCCATCTCCGGCTCAGCGCATTCCTTTCAGCGGCGGTGGATTCATAATGAGGACTGAAAGTCGTCTTTGTTTTCTGCCAGTGGACCTGACTCGCGACTGCTTCGCTGCAGAGCCACAAACACAGTAACCTCGAAAATGGAAGCAACATCTTGTGGTTCTAGCTAACCCGTAAGATCAAACTGATGCGTTTTCCAAAATGATCGATCCATCTCTGGTTTTTGATAATCACTCAAAAAAAGAGAATATCGTAACTTGGCCCAAAAGAAATGAGTTTTCCTTCAACTTTGCGCGCAAACAATCTTTGGTCACGTAAAAGAGGGGCACCTCTCGGGGCTTGGTGCATCCCGGAGCGGCTGCAGTCCGGAGGCATCACCGAAGAGACCAAAAACCAGAGCAGAAAATATGTCCTCAACCTGGGCTGGAAAAAGTAAACTGACCGTGCAGAACTTCCGAAGCTGAGGGTGGAGGTGGGGGTAGAGTGTTGAATATCAGCTGGGGCACGTCCACCTCAGCCCCATAAAGTTTTTACGCGCACAGCGCTCCGGAGCGCGGAGAAATGCGGCCAGTGGAGACGCCAAGTTCAGTCTGAGAGACATGAGGATCCGAGAGTAGGAGGAGGAAGGCGCAGGAGAGGGAGGAGGAGGAGGGGGGGGGGGGGGGGGGGAGTCATCTGTCATGACCCGATAATAAACTGTACAAATAAACGATGAACTGTAATCTGTGGGAATAATCGTGTGAATTTCACTATCGCCATTATTTTTGATGTAACAAGCGTTTCTTGTACATTCAAGAAGTTTTTGTTATTTTGATGAAGAGACACTGATGTCCGCGGCTCTGAGTTTCATAACGTTCTTATTCAAATGTGAATATAAATAATTGTTTTCTACAGATAGAAGCTTTCTGCACTGCATTGTGCTTCTGTACTTCACACGGATCTGATCACGCACTAAAGGTAAAAAAGACATCAAGAAACTACAAACGGACTTATTAAATTATCTACAACCCATTAATGAATTAATGTTGTACAACAACTAATCAGAACAGACTACATGAATTTAGATATTAAATTGTATTAAGTACAGTAAACTAGGAATAGCCTACTTAATAAATACACACATTTATATATAATCTGGCAGGAATTCATTGTGTATTGTTGGATTGTGATATTTAGTATCCCTGCAAGAGTTATTGTTGAATGTTATGTTTACACAGCAGAGATTTCCCAGGATTTTTCTGCAGTTTGGTAAATACGTCTTGTATTCAAAGGGAACTCACTGGATTCCGCGTCAGAACTGTTTTTTTATTTTTTTTTTTACAGGTCTTTTGCGCCATCTAGTGCAAAGTGTGGGTATTACACAAGCACACTACCGTTGCACTAAAATTAACTGCAACATCTAAACAAAGACAATATTAGGTGATTTTGGCTCTTAGCCAATTAGCACAAAACTACCCAGGTAGAAGCACAAAGAGTCATAATTGATTACACACCAAACAGAAACTTCAATAGATAGATAAAAGGGCCAGAGTCAGTTCATTCGGATTTGGAATAAAGGATCGAGAGAGACATGAGGGAAAAGGTCCCGGACACCAAGGAGGAGGAGGAGGAGGAAGAGTAGGAGAAAGAGCTGAGCCATTTTGCTTCTTATCTCCACACAAAAAGCGTAACGGACCCAAAATCTGTAATGTTGGTGAAATACTGGAGGTATCGGAAAGCATTCACTGGCTCTTTGCTTTCATAAACAGCTCCAGCTGCTAAAATCACAACCTCATTAAAAGTAATTTCTTTTATTTTGAACGAGTCATTAAAAGGTGGATCTGTTAGCTGCACAAGAAACAATTGAAATTTTAAAAACACATTCACATATGAAATTCATACATTTTGGAACAACAATGTATGTACATTTAGTTTTATACAATAAATATGAATAAAAATCAAAAAGTACGTAAAATACAACAACTTTTTTTCTCCCTGCAGGACATTTGACCTCCAGGTGGTTCAGGCGGGGTCGGGGTCAGACCGTGTGGAGGGGTGTTTGGTGATGATGGTGTCGCAGATCTGATAGCAGGTTTGGTTCTTTCTCCCGTTGTCCTCTGCTTGGTACGCCGTCAGACACAAATCGAGCCACGGACGCTCACCTGAGGAGACACAAACGCACCTGAACTCACTGTCACAGAGAAACGCTGCATAAGACTTGATGAACACTTTTAACCAGCGTTTGACGCTCTACAGCTTAAAAGGTGCTATATGTAGTTTTAAAATGAAATCAATTAATCACTTTTTTATAGCCTATTTTTGAGCGGGTTGTAGCCTCACATAACAATGAACCACACGCCTCCTTTCTCGGTCTCTTGGAACAGCCATTATGCTGCGTCCTAAGTGGAGAAATCGGGTCGGATTTTCGTGCCTCTTGGCTAATGATTCTGAACTCTACACACAGCGAAAAACACCACAGCTAACAAAAGGAGCCCGCTAACACCAAAAAACGACCGGCACGACCCAGTATAACACAGACTCCGTGTAGGGATTAAAAAACAACAAAAAGGTTTTATGTGCTGAAGCCCTTTAGGTCAAATGAGAACCTGGCAGGCAAAGAGAACCAGATCGATGTCGGGTGAAAACACGATCAACATCGGAAAGGCTTTCATCCTATTGGCCAGGTAAACTAACATTACTGCAAAGCATGTGAAATATATTTGTGCTCTAGTTAGCTCAAGTTGCCAGCTAACGCCGGAGTGTAGGTCTCTGTTCGAGCACAAGCATACGCGTGGGAAGGTCGTGGTTGCAATCTGAAACCGCACCGCTAGAGGCCACTGAACTACACATAGCCCCTTTAAAGGCACGCTCAAAATCATGAATTCGATGCTTAATAGGTATTAATTAGGTCTGCTGTGTTGCCAGCAGCTCTTAGACATGTCACCGTCATCGTGTGGAGGCTCATCCTGTTCTAGCAATGCCAAGTGTAATGTTAACTAAAACAATATTGATGCTAAAGCTTTAAAATTTAAAACCAAGTAATGCAGACATGAAATGAAATCAAAATGCAATAAAATAAATCAAAAAGGTTCCGTTTTTTTTCTTTCTTTCTCTTATATTTTATATTTATTTATATTTCTCTTATATATTATATTTGATTCTGGAAAGGTACCAGTGCGGCCCCCCGGTGGACAGAGGGAGTCCATCGTTTGACAGATGCTGTTCTGAGCCTCCTGATTGGCTGCAATGTCCTCTGCCGACACACCGAAGAAAGACTCCTGATGAAAGAAAGAATCTATCATCACTCATTAATGTTTATCTTTAAATCACTTTATCATGTCATGTGTTTTTGAAGTCATTACTCTCCACAATCTAATCCAAATTATCTGTGCAGGAGTCTGATAACCAACATAAGAAATACTGCGACTACAGTAACAACAAACTTTTCACATATAATTCTGTTAAAAAGTTTAGACAGACAGAAATAAACTCAGACTGTCTTTCGCTTCTCCTGGTGATCTAATCTTCTCTGCAACTTCCTCTGAAACTCACGCCGTCTCTCCACAGGAAGACGTCCAGCGTGTCGGTGGCGTCCTGCAGCTCGAGCTTCATCAGCAGGACGAACTGCAGCAGCTGAACGCCGAGAGCTGCAGACCAGAAGAGACGTTAACACGGTGAGATTTATTTCAGGGGAAAACCTGCAGCTACAACAGACCCGAGATCAGCCAGGAGTCTTTCAGGAGCTTTTACAATCTGCTGAATCAGGAGAAAGGAGAAGGAGCCCAACATAAAACTCTGTGTGAACGTGCAAGATTTTAAACTCTGAAGACAACGTGACATGACATCACAGGGTGAGCACAAACAGCACAACAACAGCGCCTGGGTAACAGTTGAGCAACTTTATTTTTTTGTTTTAATAACAGGTTCTAAAGGTTTCAAGTTTAATTTACAGTAAGATCAATATGAGTGCAATTTAAGACCTATGTCACGTCCATACTGGCAAAAAAAAGTACAAAGGATATGAAAGAAAGTCGCCTAAACCTAACCCTGTGAAAAAACCAAGCAGCAACCTCCGGGTCTGAAAAGTGAAGCCAATGCGCCTTAAACTTGCATTCTTTCTAAAGGCCAGCAGGGGGCGAATCCACTGTTTGCAAAACAAAGTCCGACTGCATTGGACTTAATGGCAAAATGACCCTACTTCTCACGTGATTTATTCCCTCAGTAAACACCTTCCTAATGACTTTATGGTCTCAATCACTAGTTTCAAGTCTTCTTCAATACAGTATGATGCTCATTTTGTAAATTATGGTCCCATTTAGAGGAAAATACACAATACAGCAGGGTAGGCTTTAGGGCGTGGCTATCTTGTGATTGACAAGTCGCTACCATGGCGACCAGTCAGAACGTTTTAAGACCTTTAATTAAACAGACACCTATTTCCAGGAAAACACCTACAATAACAAACCCAAAATTAATCAGTAATAACTCCTCAACCATTAGGCCTAGATGCATAATTCTCCTTTGATACGTCAGAAGCTAACGAAAATTAATCAACTGTAAATGATTCAGACGATGCAGACCGTCTGTTCCAAAGCAACACTTCTTCTCTCCTTCAGTTTGACGAGAGAAATGAAACCTAAGACCTCAGCTATTGTGCAATACCAAGATGGTGCATGGGGCGATCTTTATACACACAGAAAACAGCTGTTTTTGGACTGAAAACGAATACGGCAAAAGTTAGTCAGCGGTTATAACTGTGTTGTATATTGGTGTGTTTGTCATTATTATTATCATCCGGCTCTGTGAGATTGGGGGTTTTTCACGGCAGATCAAAGCTGAAGATGAGCTTTCTTTAGAGTGGTCGGACTGCGGTGTAAGATGAGATGAGAGATATCTGGACGGGAATAACTGCAGCCATGTGTAGTGATTACAGAGCAAATTATGTTGTGATATAAGTTTATTCAGCTGCTTGGTGTTTGATGTATGTTTGGTGTGGATATAAATGGTTGGTTTGACGTTCTAGCTGAGCCTCCTAGCTTAACAGAGGTTTGTAGCATGCACAGGGTGACTGGGGGCGTAGGTGCTCAGCTGGCTAAGATTTTGGTTTTAACACCAAAACCTTAAAGGTCTAAATTTCAGATTTTTGTATTTTAGACGTTTTCAGGACTGAATCTGAATAAGATTAATATTGTGGCGGCTGCAGTTTAGAGCATTTCTCGCCAACAAAACCCACTCTCACCTTCTGCAATGATCTTCTCATCAATCAGCTTGACTCCTTCAGCAGACGGTTCCCTCACTGCAGCCTCAGAACACTGCCTACACCTAAAACACACACAGGGAATCATAAAGAGGCATCCTTCAATGGCTCAACAAAGTCTGCGAGCCATCTCTGCCAGCTCATGTCACTCACTATATACTTAAACATCACTGTTCACAACCAGCGAAGTATACAGTGTCTTTATTTTGAAATGTAACGTACTTTGTCTTGACAGCATTTCCAGGAAACACAAACCACCAAGTCCACTTGTAGCTGTTCTGTGTCAAAAATCCTCCCCCAGCAAAAATATTCTCTTCGTGGTGAGATTTTTGTCAAGGTCAAGAAAGAATTTTCAATCTTATCGACAAAAAGCCCTTAAAGTGCTCACAAAAAAGTACATAAGCAACTCCATCTGCTGAGAAGATCAGGTGATGCGGCCTCTTAACAGCGATTAAATGGACCTTGTGGTGAGCATGTTATTGGTTGACGTATAGATTTCCTTAATGGCCTTCGAAAATGTCAGAAGCAGATGAATCAATATCAAGAACACGTTCCTCGCTAAAACGTATTTTGTTATGTGTGAGCAACAGCTCAGTAAAACTGCACTTTTTGTTTGTCAGCTGGAGCATAAATCCAGTTGTGATCCACATGTCAAGACGTCGTTGATAGCTTAATATTTCTGCTACTACCAGATTACTTTTCTTTTTAAATGAACTGTAATGCCAGTTTTCTTAGATACTACATACATAATAAATATCAGTTAATGTCAGTTTGTTAAATATATATCAGGATCAGTGTATATGTCACCTGACAGGTAACAGTAAATGTTAGTTCAGAAATGTCAAAGATAAGTTTGAGATGATTTATAAACACTGTTACATTATTTGTCTACCAGAGAGCACTGATAAGTTTATCTTTAACTGTAAAAAGTTCTGCTCAGTATGTATCTGGATCACTATTCTCTAATAACCAAATTTAAAGGGATTCCTTTTCTTGGGCAACATATCATTATTGGACTTTTTTAACTCAACAAATACCATCGCAACAATAACAGAAAATAAGAAAGATGGCTGACATATCTAATTGTTTACTGATGGAACCCAAATCAAACTTTTCTTAATAAAGCTGTAAATTGTTAATATATTAGAGTGAAGCTCATCTCTGACCCGTAGTATCTCTTCCTGCCTCTGAACAGGAAAGGTGCAGACAGGTCGAGCAGAGCAAGGTGACCTCCTGATGACCTCACAGGGACGATGTTCTGGTAGCCGGTTGCGAGCCGACACGTTTCCTCCAGGGTCGAACCTGCATAACACCCAAACCTCCGTTAGAAGGAAAGATGATGATCTTAGGATGAACTTGAATTTTGTGGTTTTGTTGGTTTGATGGCGGCAGAAAAAATAAAACTTTTATTCTTTAAAATGACAAAAGATTATTGTATAACATGCTTCATCTTTTCTCTTCAAAGGTATTCACATTTCAAGTTTTACATTTACTGACTGTTCAGACTGTTACCCATGACGAAGATGAGATCTTTGGTTTTGCCCTCAGACATGAGCTGGGTGGATAGGTGAACACTCAGAGTTCGGTTAGGGGATCGTGGGGACTCTCCAGGGACATCAACCCGGCCTGACAGCGCCCACGGTGGAGGACTGTAAAGGTCCAGAGTCCCCGGACGCCTCAGAGAAGAGACCCGCCACCAGTTCATCATCTGGGACGTCGTGCCTGAGATAACAGTGCAGGATCAGAAGAGAATCAGATATTTCATTTCATTACATTTTACAAATCCAACATGCACACTGACTCTAAATATCAACTTTAAATTCAATACTGTCTGCCTAAAATGTCTACATCCTGCAGAGATTGCAGGATTGGAGCAGTAAAATTATAACGTCTGCATGTGCATGTGAGTGACAGTTTACAGGAAACATTGAGAGCCTGATAAGTCTTGTAATATTGTTGCACTTGTGTGTGAGCCTACATAGATATACACTTGCTGCAGTAGAGTTTCAGAGCCTGGTAAAGTCTGCGGGGCTCGTAGGATCTCAGCTGGACTCTGACGTGGTGAGCTCGACCCGGATCGGACCGCTTTAGCTCAGACAGCGTCACCGGCTGTAAGTCGTGACCACATCTTCTCTCTGACACACACATTAAATGTACAACACAATTAACACACACAGAGTGACTTTCATCAACTTTAAATTACTTTTTAATACTACATCAAAAGGAACATCAAAATGTTTTCATTTTAAGATCTGGCACTATTTACCCTTCTAAAACTAATTAAGAAGCGCTAAATTTGACTTTACCCTGGAACATTTAACAGGATTCTTACTGTGCCTCTAATATTGAATTTCTTCACAACTTTTTTATCACGTCTCTGAGGTCTTTCTAAGAGAAATTAAATTATAATTTTTTTTATTCTTGTTTTGTTTAAGACCTGAGATGATATCGTAGGGATTCTACAAAGCTCTAGTCAAGTCAAATTTAAGCGCATTGAATGCAATTCAATACCATTTTCACTATCATACAGGCAAAAGTATGAAAGTATGATGGAAAGCCAGGAGGGGGGTATGCCCTAGAAATCACATTTCACTCCTTCCCAGCAGTATGTAGCAACAACTTCAAATGATACAATCAATTAAAAGAATTCATCCTGGCATAAAATGGATGAATGGGTTATAACCAACAAAAATCCTTTTAAGTTTTTTGCTAAAATCAACACTCGTTGAAATAGAGACAACGAGCTTCTTAGCTGCTGATTGAACAGCCTCCTGCAGAAAAATCCACTGACGAACCAATCCCAGTTTTAGTGAAAAGTCTCCTGACATCTCGCAATCTGATACAAAAACATTTAATAATCAACATGGCTGGCTCCAGCAGGCGCATTTCAGACTTTTTAATACCTTCTAAGACTTATTGCATCATTCAGACTTTTTAAAAGCCTGAAGGGGAAGCTAAAGCAAGTAAATATCAGCTGTATATCCTTCACAACATATTGTATGCTGCTGGCTGGATTTACAAAACATTTTTCACAAGAGAAAGTTCTCCTCACAAGTCGCCCTGTACGATTATGGTCTGCACTAACGTAAACTGCACACGATTTAGAGTAAATGGCCTAAAATCTTGAAAAAACACTGGTAGGAGAAAACTCTGTGTTGCTTTCAATGTTTTTCAGTCTGTTTCCAGATCGGCTGAAAACCAGATGTTAACTAAAGTGAATGTTTAAGTGTGAAAGAAAACCTGCTTGTATAAAAATCTGTTGTTTCTGAATTTCCCACAGACCTTATTAAACCCCCCACGACTTTGACCCAGTTTGAAACATTTTACTCCAAATCCCAGGATATTCCAGGAAATCCAGAACCAGTAAGAAACAACAGAAAGCATATAAATAAAAGCGCTAAACGAGCTGGTGTTGACTTTAAATGTATACCAAACTGATAGAAAAGGACAATAAAGTTAGACTTACAAAATAACTCATTAACAACATTTAATCAAACACTGATATTCCAAAGCTCCACAGGCTGCGCGCGTTTCATTTTAAAAATGTTTCACCTCGCTCGAGCCCTGAAGCTGCTGCAGTGTGTTGTGTTTCATACCTGTGATGCACTCCACTGTTTCAGCATCTAAAACAAAAACATAGAAACCATCAAGGACTGAACCAGATACAGGCGTACAAAAATTAATAAGTAACAAAGGCCTATAAACAAACTGCACTCTGCTGAGCTGCTCCTGCTGAAGGAGGAAAAAAAAAATCACCTGATCTAAAAAGCATTTTCTTAGATGTCTTAAAACAAGCAGGTTCTGCTGCCTGCTTCAGCTCACATTCTGTATGTAATCATCACAATCACTGCAGATTGTGATGATTAAAGCTGACTGCATTTTGAGTTTTGTTTGCTTATACAATTGGTCTTAAATATTCTCCTAAACTGAGAAGAGGCAGTGATTTTCACAGCAGATATATGTTTTAAAATAATACACACGCATTACGCAAACTGTAACCTTTCAGAAGAAATAGAATAAATAGTTTTCACATCTTTTCAATGTACTGTATAATAACAATGGCACGTATCAGTGGCTTTACGTCATGAATTCAATAAAAATGGTCTTGTCTCGGGTTTGTGTATATTCTTTTCCTGGTGTGTTTTGAAACAACTGAATTACTATCTCCACAAAGGCAAATTTTTGGGGTATGTTGATAAAGACGTAAATTTTTTTTTAAAAAGAACGCTCTTCCTGCAAAGAAACCGCGTCTCAAATATTTCGCTCACTCAGAGTTATACAACAGACATCAGGCCTGCAGGTTGGAACGCAGAGCTTTTCTAATGCTGGAGAGTTCTTTTAAAGCTGCAGCTGTTTGTCTGTCTGTATGAAAACCTTCAGGTCACTGTCAAAGTTTGGACTTTTTATTTTATCCCCAGTGAAGCGTAGGCTTTTAGAAGGCCCTGCTAATGGAAGTAGCGCCCCGCAGCTTCAATCCATTCATCCATCCTTTCCTCAGTGAAGAAATTGGTCTGTCTGAGCAGTCAGGATGTTCATATTTCCGCTGCTGGCGAACACATTTTTCACTTAATCAAAGACCAGCGGGCGGTCGCCACAACATTCTTCCTTTTTCGTATTTCAGTCACGCAATAAAAATATTCAGATTTTCTTTATCAGTCATTTGTAAGCAGAAACTACGAGGGCAGTTTATTGGAAAAACAAGACTAAAGGTGTGTCTAAACAGGAGGCGTTTGAGCTGTGTCATCCATCTTACTCAAGTCTGACTGGAAAAATGTGTTTCCATTTTCACTCGTGCTATATGCACTTTATATGCAGGAAAAATTTTTTTGAACCGACGATGATCATAGATGAAGAGATCGTCCAAGTTATTACAATTCATCCTGAGGGGAATGTTAATGTCTGTAGCAAATTTCATGTCAGTCCATTAAGTGGAAAAACTGCTAAAATCGAGGTTCTTCCAACATCCATTCATACCCAGGTACTCTGGTGGCGTGCTCCAGATCTCCAACAACGCTGAGTCGTTCAGCTCGTCGTCCATGTCATTGTCTGGTACGGCCTCCATGACTCTACAGGCACATAAACAAGGAGAAAATGAAAAAACAACAACTTTATAAACACAAACGAATACATTTACTTTTTAATTAAACTACCGAAATTTAAAAACTGAAACTTAAATCTGGATTACGCCCTGGATTTATTTAGATCGCAGCACAGTTTTAAATCCTCTGTCAAATTTTTGTTTTCCTTAAAAAACAAAAAAATTTCTAAACCTGATGCCCCATACTAAACCCATGCATAAATGAATGCCAGTTACTGTAGAAGTCTGATTGCACACGTCTTGACTACACTAGTATTGCTTAGGTCTTTTCTGGTCCAATTATGCAGCAATACCAGAACAAGTAAGTAGAACAAGAGCACAGTCTGCAGTATGAAGCAGGTTTTCTACAATGATTTTATTTTTAGACATACAGTGGGTACGGAAAGTATTCAGACCCTTTTCAATTTTTCACTCTTTTTTTCATTGCAGCCATTTTCCAATAATCAAAAAAGTTCATTTTATTTCTCAGTAATGTACACTCAGCACCCCATCTTGACAGAAAAAAACAGAAATGTAGAAATTTTTGCAAATTTATTAAAAAAGAAAAACTGAAATATCACATGGTCATAAGTATTCAGACCCTTTGCCGTGACACTAATATTTAACTCAGGTGCTGTCTATTTCTTCTGATCATCCTTGAGATGGTTCTACACCTTCATTTGAGGTGAAAATAAAATGAACTTTTTTGATTTTTGGAAAATGGCTGCAATGAAACAAAGAGTGAAAAATTTAAAGGGGTCTGAATACTTTCCGTACCCACTGTATTTGTCCCGCATGTCCTGCTGTACCTCTTTAGCTCCTGCACATCTGGGCTGTTTTCTGGAAGAACCCGAATCCCTCTGCCGTATGCCGTCCCTCCATGCAAGTGAAATGCCAGGTGATCCACCTCCTCCGACTGGCTGCTGGTGAGGCCGGGAACCTTACTGGATCCCGGGATCGCTCGTAGGTTGTAAATCCTCAGGAAGGCCCCGGGCTGATGGGACAAACGGGACAATTAGCACACCAAAGTAATATAATAAGTATTAGAAACATTTTATTAAACAGATATGCAGCAAGAGAGATGAAGATCTTTGAGTATTCAAAGTTTTAACCATTTTTACAACTCACCACTTACTCACACAGCAATGCAAAATGCTGGTGTGGCCTCTTAAACAATTTAAGGTTCACTATTTTGCTCAAAGACACGGACATGTCCAACATTAATTAGAGGTTGAACCTCCAACTCTGCAATTAATGGAGGACCTGCTCTAACTTTTGAGCCACCGATATTTTTGCAAGGAGACACAATAGGTGAGTTTTGTTTGATTATTTCCCCATTTAAGAAAAATAAAAATTTGGGAAAACCTTTCTTGTTCTTGAGTAAACAATCAGTCCAGCAGGAGATCCCCACTGTTAGCAAACAGCTGCTTACTTCCACATCAAGCAAACATAGAGAAACATGATCATGGAGTGGTGTTTTTAGCTCTGGTTTGGTCCCCACCAACTCCTATTTGTAACTCTAACTTTAGAGAATTTCTAATATATTTTTCCTGCATGTATGTAAATGACCATACAGTTAAACATATTAAACCAATCTAATCCAACGCCTCTTCAATCAACTCATCTCTGACACAGTGACAACAAGCGAACACGCCTCATAAGGGTTTATCCGAATGCTCCATCACAGTCTTCCCACTGTTGAGCTGTTTCTATTCAGTCCGTTTAATCAATCAGCAGATGGCAATGTTGCACCAAAAACTTACAGCCAGAGTGGTGAAAGTGATTCAGAGGCTACCCAAAGGACTTCGTTTGGAGGGTTTGTAATTTTTGTTCCCCCTCCCCCAGCTTTCCATCACGACGAGCCCGCGGTCGACAGAAACCTTCCCTCACTCTCTTCATCAACAAACGCTTCGGTGATCAAGTGTCAGAGGGATTCACTCTGTTCAGACAGTTCACCAAAGCCTTTAAAGTGTTTTACATGACAGGGTTTGGTCAAAAAGACCCAGACACATATGATTACATTATAGCCGGAAAGCAGAGGAAGAAATGAATGCTCTATAAGCCATAGCTTCCTTTGAACCAATGTTCTCCATATGCTGAGTGAAGTTTGAGTCAGTTTCAGGGTGGATTAACAGCTGATCTCCAGAGGCCTCTCCTCTTCTGATGATCCACATGAAGAGCTGAGAGATGAACTGTGAGGGCTGGAGAACTGTCTCCACTCACATGGAAGCACTTTATTATTAGAAATTATCCTTTCATCTACAATTATGTCCTCTGTAACTGGATGTTACTTTGAAGCTGATGAACAGGAGAAGAGCTGCTGTTTAAATAAAAGTTTTTCTGTTTTTCTTCCTCTTTGTCATCTGAGAAAAAACTATTTAATGAGATCATGAAAATATTTCGATATCAATAGAAGACTAAAACAATGAAAAAGATTTAGACAAAGCATGAACATTGATGTCACTAAACTGAAAATGGCTGAAATAAATTCATTGAATCAACCTTTATGATGTTTTTTTGTCACAAGGAGTCCAACCTCATGAGGAAAATTACAGCACTGGTAGTTTGTGCAAAACAACTTCCCTTAAAAATCCTGGCAAGCAACTACTTGCGGTTAAAGACTGACCTCTATCAGGAGCAAAGGAGCAAGTAGTGTGACATTATTATAGGTTTGAGAAACCACAAAAGTGTGTTTGGAAACAATGTACAGTCTGTTTCCCTGCACCAAGAGTATATATTAGCTGTAGCTAGCAAGCAAAGTATTTTCCTGCTGTGACTGTGGAGTGTTTATGTGACAGCAGCTCACATCCGGTCTCCAACCAACAGGCAAAGTTAGCGTCTTTAAATTATGTAGGCAAACCTTCCAGAACCTTAACAAAGTTGTTTGGGGCTCACTCGAGTTAACAACACTTCTTCTGTATGTGGGTTGTTTTGGTAGGAAAGGACAAACAGCCAATGTTACTTAGATATACTTAGATATAAAGATTTGTGTTCTTAAGGTAAGTTCAGACTGAATGGAAAGTGAATTCCATTTTAAGTAGCACTCTATTTTTCTTTGGGCTTATGTTTTCGTATTGGTTCATCAGCAGCACTTTCTAAGTACATAAGAAAAACATACTATTTGAGTATGAATCATTTTATTTAGATCATAAATCCCACTGTGGCAGGAAGCAAACACAATGAGACCAAACAGACAGTATTTTTGTTTGCAGAATCCCAGACTTTGCCCGGGTATTATTTTGTCACTGGAGACCTGGATGTTTAGCAGAATGAGGCAGAAGAAAACAACCAAAAGTACTGGGGGAGTCTGGCTGTGTTTTCTCAGAGCTGCATGAGTTTAGCAGAATTTACCACAGTTTGTGTTTCGAAACAGGTGTAGAGACCACGGCGAGTATGACTAATGCTGGGAGAAGGTGAAAAAACAGCAGTGGACAGACGGCCGGGCAAATAAAGGAGGTGCCGCGCGGCGTCGGCTGTGATCTGGCCCTGTTGAGCTTCCTGTCTGTATTCACATATTAAATCCTCTGTAGTGGTCCTGAGAGGCCAGGTGTGATTTATAAAGAGCAGATATTGAGCTGAGAGAAGCGGCACTAACTTTGGACTACAACATGACTCATCTGATCAGAGGACAAAGAACATATGCAGAAGCACAGTAGCTTACGGAGAGTGTTTTGCACTTTTGTGAAAGTTGGTCCTGTTCTGACAACACCGTCTGACAGCAACAAAACTTGTATGTGTTCATTTTCAGTTGTCTTTTTTGAGGCACAGCTTAGAGAAGAATCTACACACAACCTCTCTTTGTTCCTCTGGTAAGTGGACATGATATAAGAGACAAAATGGATGTCCAGGTGTCGCTGTAAAGACAATAGCAGATTTCCAGGCTTCTAGACAATAACAGACTCTCAGATATCCACAAAAACGGGCTGGCAGCTGTCCTGCCACTGTGCACAAAGAAAAGTCTACAAAGATATGGTTTTCCCGTTTGGTGTGGAAGAACTTGACTGGGACCTGGCCTCATCCAACACCTTTAGAATCAGCTGGAACGCTGACTGAGAGCCAAATCCATGCAGCCAGGTTCAACTGGTGGAAAGACTAAAAGCAGCACAGTAGAAGCTGTAATGGTTGACCTGGTTCCAGACTTCTCCATTACTACCCACATATATGATTTTTTCAATCGGGCTCAGAGACGGCTACCTACACCACATGGTGAAACAACTGACCAATCAGAGATTTGTAGGCATGGTTAGGGGAGTCATCGTCCTACATAGCTAGCTAGTTCCATGAAAAATTGCGACATGTCTTTCTCAATAGAAAAGTAATGAAAAAAATAACAAAACACACCATTTCCATGTTCCAGCAAGAAACATTGTAAGGTGTAAAATGAATGTTTTTGTAAGGTGATTTGAATAAGGTTGGGTGCTGAATCTGTTCAGAACTGACTGAAAGTGGGACTGAATGTCTGGTTGGATTCATAATCTCATCTGCTTATGCTTTAATTAGATATTTACCGATTTAAACAAAAAACTTTGTTATATTTCTCAAATGAATGCATCAAAAAAACATTAAACATTGTTGTTTCTGCTAAACATTACTATTAGAGTTAATGAGGGCGTTTAGGAATATCTATGAATCTGCTTCGTACTGACACAACAGACACAAATGCATTAATTTAGTGCCAATATTGTTGCTAAACGTAAAATACATGTGATCAGTTAAAAAGCTTAAATTTTGGTCAGCTTCACTAGACAGTTGTTAAGAATTTCTTCCTGTAGGTGATGGGCCCAGTAGCCTGTTAGCCTTAAATATCTAACATAAATGATACAGATGTATTTCATCAAAACTTTTACAATAGAAAACAGAGACTACATTACAACATGGTGTTTGTATTTTCAAGAGACTCCACTACTTTCTGAGTGAGGTTAATAGATTTTAAGTTTTCACTGGAACTAGATTACCTGAGAATATTAGCTTTTTAAAAGGAAATAAAAGACCAGGGAAAAAGAGAAAATCACCTCATGGCTTACACATTACTACAACAGTTGGCATAGCAACCAACAGCAGGAGAATCAGCGGTATCGTTAGAGCTTTTGACCGGCATTTGGTGCTCTTTGACCAATCAGTTCATTCAGCTGAGACCACACTTAGTATAATGGGCACATTATCACCATCAGCATGTGCGCAGTGGGTGTTCAGGGACTGTAGGACATACTGGTCCACAGCTCTGAAAGTGATCAACCTGTCTGAGAGGAAATGGCTCCCTGCAGCTTCCCTTGCAAACAAACCATTTTCTTTTTAAAGAGGCTGGGGGACCAGAGTGGAGCAGCCTGTGGCTGCTTCTGTAAGTACTTGATCTGTATGAAAACTAAACACTCCATCCGCCCACTGCCACACAGCCAAGATGCCACTGCCGCTGTCTCATGGTATTAGTGCTGCTCGGCTGCTCAGTAAAAAGGGATTCCTTAAAATTCAAAAGATTGCTTTGGGCTTCCACGGCTTCTCGTCAAGCTGAGGCTCAATAAAGCAGCCAAAAAAAATAAATAAATAAATAAAAACTTGTGCCCTCACTGAGAAGAAGAAACTATTCATTTCACACTTGCTTCATGGAGCAGCAGGAGATGGGCTTTAAAAGCCAGACAGATACGGCCCAAGTCAACAGTGGGGCTCTTTGTGCTAGAAAATCAACTCAACGGGGAGCAGGGGATTTAAACGACGAACACCTCATTTGAGATTAAATACCTCGACTGCAAAATGAGCCTTAGATAAAACAATCAAGGACAGGACATGAACTCTATTTTCATTGTTGAATAATCTGTCAGTCATGTTTCAGTGCTTCACTACTGGAGTTCAACAGAAAATATCAAGAAATGTCGTTACAGAAAAGTCAGAGATATATTTGAGGTCATTTAGAAATAATGTGTGCATTACAGTTTCCTGGGACATTGGTGAAGAGGTGTGAATTAGACAGATTCCAATGCATCTGAACTTGTCAATGTA